GGGAAAGGGAGAATCCGTCTCTGATCTGGGCTGAGGCTCTTAACTGGGATGTAGAGAGGCAGCGGCGGGCCTCGTCTTGGCAGCTTCAGGTGCCCTGGGGAGACTTGTCCTTCCCCGGCGCCGATGCCTGCGGGCGCCGAGGCCCTCGGTTACTTGAGCAGGCCCGGGGACGCGCTTCGCTAAGAGCAAATAACTGGCACGGCATCTTAAAAGATGGGGTGGCTTTTGGTAAGCGTGTGCCGCCGGCGGCATGCAGGCACAGAGCTCAGATCTGTGCCAAAATCTCGGCGAGAAGCGGTGGGTGCTCGTGTCCGCGGCAGGTGATGCGGCCGCCCCCCTCTTTGAGGCCTGGCCCGGCCGCGCGCCTCTTCCCTGAGCCTGGGAGGGTGTGCGGGGCTCGGTGAGGGCGGGCTGTGCCTTTAGAGTCAGCGTTAAAACCTGTGTGCGGTAGGCGTGGATTGCAGCCATCTTCATGATAAGCGTAACTGTAGCTGTTGTCTTACCCGCTTCAGTAAGAGAATGATTTTTGAAGTGTTTATTTAAACAGAAAAAAGTTACTGTATTGACCCTTCTAAATAATGTGCCTGTGCTATAAATTATTGTTTCTTTCAGTAGTCTGTCTAGTTTCCTGCATAATTTGTGTCATGTTTACTTGTAAACAAGGATAGTTGAATGACTTTTAAATAAACTCATTAAAACTAATACTGCTGTCACCGTTTTTTACGTGACTATTCCCTGTTAAGAATAAATTTTAATAAGAGGAGTATAATTACCTTCCTAATCCCATCTGTTTATTGTTTTCTACATTTAAATAGGATGTGACAATTGATTCCTGTGTTCTGATTAACTTACGAAAACTAGAGACACTTATTGGCCCCTACAACTTCCTTTGATACCTATATATGTTAAAATCAGGTTTATACTGGTGGCACAAATTTACAAGAAACCATCTGAAGGAACAAACTGCATCTTGTGGATGACACCAAGCTGGGGGGAAGTGTTGAT